TATAGATAAGTAGTACATGATTAATAGCAATGAATGGACTTACAACATCCTTAAAGGGTATTTTTCCCATCTATGGATCAATATTTTCGTGGACCTTACACAACTTAGAAGACACAACTCAACCAACACATGAATTAGTCACCAGCGCGCCGGAGATCCACTTTATCGTTCCGTCTTTATTCAATATCTAACAAACATACCATCACATATACATGGAACGTTTCAGAACCTTGTTGTGCCTTATGAAGGGACCACAGAAGGTTCCAAAAGTTTGCATTTATATGTGAGGCCATGTTTGTCTGACTTCGAATAAAGATGGAACGCTAAAGTGGACCTCCGGTATGCTGGTGAGTAATTCTTTCATATCCTGATCCACATGGCACCATCCACAGGTCATTACAGCACCCACTTTAACTGGGATTCTGATCTGGAGTGCGACAGGATATTTTCATTTTTGGACTTACTCAACCAACACAACATGTTGACTCAAACCCTGATGCTCTAAAACCAATTGATAGCTTTTTGCGGTCTGTATCCCTGTTTGCTCAACACAATTCTACGTTTGTGGATAGCCCCTCACTCAGGACCAGTTTTCTTCAAGATAAAACACACTAATAAATCCACAGCTCTTGCCGCAAACACTCTTCACCAGCTCGTTTTTCTTGGGTTATCCAGCCCACCTGAATACTCACCACATTCTGAGATACATTTTAATGCCTTAGCAAAATCCAATTATAGAGAAGCAAATCAAATACAGGATTGTTCATCCTAGCCACATAAAGCTTAGTGGGAAGTTTGGGTGGGTGTTCATCAGGAACATGACTCCAAGCAATAGTTCCTTGTGCTGGGGAGCCTGTCTCCAATATGGCAGCCAGGGGCTCCCTTAAAGAAGGTGTACATTGGTGCTGACATGAGTGATGTTTTATACCTTCATTCATGTGGCAACATGCATTACCCTGGAGTACTGAAAGGTCTGGGTCTGAAGACCTGGCACTTCAAAATGAGGTTGATTATGAGCAGCTAAATGTAACTCTCTGCAGTTAAATGTAGTTCTGCACAGCTAGGTTTCTCTGTGCTGAATGACCAAAAGAGATCTTATGTGAATTGGAGACAGAGATCAGTTCTTTGTTGTTGTGTGGAAGGTACCAGTGGTTGTCATGTTGGGAAAGCTTGGGTTCCTGCTCCTTCAGAAGCCAGAAGATAGCTTGTCTTCTAACTTCCCGTTGTGGGTCTTGCAGGTTGTAAGTAAAATGGACCCTCTGAACAGTGATAGGCAAATCTGCACATCCCTCAAGGGTCCAACAAAAGTTGTTCAAAATTAATCAAACATGAACTTGGAGGAGAATCAAATTAAAATCTATGGGGAGCAAATCTTGATAATTTCTGGCCATTTTTAGGGCTAATGAGCAAACTACTGTCAAAAAAGTCATTGGAAGCTGGGCAATGTCTGTGGGGACATGTACCAATGTACAATTTTTTTCAGGGATAAGAGGCCAAAATGTAATATAGATAGAGTAAATGCAGGTGTTTTACTGCAGGAATTAAGTGACCGGAAATTATACACTAGTGTAAAATTGACCAGCAGCAGGACAATGTTTCTAGAGACAAGGAGCACAGACTAAGGTTTTACAACAGAAATCAAAATACTACATTGGATACAGCAAACTTTGCCAGCAGCAGAACAGTTCTAATGAGGCATAATAGGCCTAACTGGTGTATGCCTAATCTTTATTTTTTCTATGGAGATAGAGGGTTCAGAAAATGTCACTGATAACCTTTGAGGTGGTTTAGGTGCACGCTGTTTTTGCACTTTTTTTTTTTCATTTAACCCCTTCATGACTGAGGCCCTTTTTTCAATTTTTGCACCCATGTTATATTCCAAATTTTAGGCCTGAAAATGACGTAAAACCCCCCAACATTATATATTTTCTGAATGCCAAGACCCTATAGAATAAAATGGTGGTAGTTGAAAATGTTTATGTTGCGCAATATTAGCGCAACTCCTTATTAAACCCCAAAATTTAGTGACAAATTTAATTAAATGCCACAAAACACAACAAATTACCCATTTTTTAAATGAAATATAAAAGATGAGGTTACAACGAGTAAAACGATACCCAACATGCCCAGTTTACAGATTCAGCGAAATGCTGTAAACAAAAGGCAGCTTAAAGACCAGATGGTCAGTGACAAGTGAATTCTCATGTGGAAGCACTCCGCACCTAAAAAAAAAAGGCCATATCAACATAAAATGAAAACAAAAAAATCCAAAAGAAAATAAAACTCCAAAATAACACCTCCTAAAACAAATTTTGTTCTATCCTAGAGAAGCCTGTAGAAAAGCAATGTAATCTAAAATAAAGGTCCTACCAACATAAAATAATAAGAAAATATAACCCAAAATGCCACCCTCCTCCACTGAAGAAAGCCAAATTTAAAGGCCAAAAAATGTTTGCTGTGTACAGGACAGCAGCTAAACTAACTTCTAACCTAAAATCAAGCACAAAGGGGTTGATTGCCCAAAGAGCTAGCTATTAGAAATAAAGTACAGTTTCCTATCAGACCCTAATCTTTCCCTCTGCAGTGCGTCAGCTTTCCCTATCCTGCAGCAGCTTCCAATACATTGATACTATGACTGCTCTTTGCTCCGCCTTTTATATTGAGGGGGATGGCATATGCCAAAAAAATCCTAATTAGCCTTTCTAAGCCTGCTGGCCATAGTTCCAAGGCCGTGAAATGCATTATGATTTTAAAACATTCATTAAAAAATAACCAGGACTGTGAATCTTGAACACAGGATTCACTTCAAACCCATGGTGGCGGACAACCTGAACCTCATCCCTACCACATAGATGCCACAGGTATTGATTTTTTTTCTCCTCCTAAACCTTCCATCATATTTCATGGAAACTACAGAAAGTGAACTATTTTTTTTCTTGTTGTCCTTTTTATGATCTGAGGGAGCATTTGACAGAGGGTCTGCTGCTCTGCAGGACATCATTTCTGTCCTCTGGGGCTGCTGGGTGGTATAATTTCTGGTGTGTCTGTCCATTCCTTGATTCTGCAATTCATGTGGCAATTTCCAGCCTCAAATTCAAAGCTGTTAATAGGCCAAAGGATGCCATCGCTGTGAATATTATATCAATCGGGGTTGTTTCTAGGCACAGTGAAACTAGATGGTCAGTTAGTGTGCCATCCGCTGCAGAAGGCACAGAGACATGGCAATGTAAAATTTAGGGGGGAGAAAATATTATGTAATATCATGTAATAATATTACTAAAACATTTGTGAAATGTTCTCATACTTTGTATTAATATGGTTAATATAAAAAGACTTGACATTTGATTCCCTGTCCATGGATTCGTCTTTTATTTTTTGCAATGTGCATCTGCTTTGTTCTGCAGACATCCACCCATATACTGTATGATGTGAACTGCCGGCATCCACGCATCTTGAATGGACAGAAACCTGCAATATAAAGCAGCCAAGTACACTGTGAAACAAGGAGAGGCTTATTGGCAGTGTATCAAAGGAAAACACTTTACAATTTGAATCCCTTGCGCCAAATTAACAGAGGCTGTGTTAATATTTCACAAGCAATTTAGTGCAAGAGGCCAGCAACAGCAGCTTACATAACGTCCTCACTACAAGTCTCCTTTTATGGTAGTCCGTAAGGCTCTGTATCATTTTGTTTAGTAGACGTGTGAGAAGGCTGGAAAACAGTAGATGTCTAGCCTAGGGATGTAAAGTGGTCTGAAATGTCTTTGGCTGTAATATAGTCATTCTTGTAAATCACGCTCATGTGTGGTTAGCAATGTAAAAAAAGAGCAACCCCTCCTCTCCAGATGTTTCTGAAATTCTGAAATTGCATCTCATAAACATAGACAAAAACAGAATTTCATTCCTTGAGACTGAATTCAGAAGCTGCTGAAGGTCACGAGGAGACCACTGAATCCAATGACATTCTACTTGACTCTTATAACCCCCTGAGAGCTATAAAGGCTGGATTTCCCCTAATTTGATCATGTTCAATTACATCCCAAAGCCAACTTCAAAGTCCACTGCCCCATTTGCACTGGGATATGTAGAGTAGTGTAAGCATGAAAGCACTGATACTCCA